GACGCAACCGGGAGTCGACTACACGGGAGTCCAGCAACATAGCCATTACGCTAACTGCTGGTCCCATGATGTTTGTTTTTTTGTCACTGGCTTATTTCACGTAGCAGGTGTCTCCCAGTCTCACCCTTGTAACATGTGTCAAAATTTTATTCCATTTTGGGAATCAGCAGTTAGTGTAATGGCTATGTCGCTGGACTCCCACGTAGTCAACCGCGGTTCGCATCCCGGACCCGGTGGCTTAAAACTCACGCCAGGCGTGTGTGCGTGCGTGCCCAAGATCCCGAGAGGAGAATGGAAGAGAAGGGATTGTGGCGTGACCATCCCCCCTGGGGGTGATTTCTCGCTTTCTGTCTGTCTCTCTGTCTCTGTCTGTCTGGCGAGCGCACGCACCCTATAGAAAAAACCTCTCCAAAAAAAAAAAAAATTAATTCCGTTTTTAGGCCAGCCTGATGGCAGGGAGGGGTTTTTTCCCTTGTTTTTTTTTGTTTTGTTTTGTTTTGTTTTTAATTTTTTTCTTTAATAACTATTTTATTTTATTTATTGTTAGTATTATTTTTAAAACTTGCTATAGGGCCCGTGTGCTCACCAGAGAGAGATGAAGAGAGAGAGAGAGAAAGTGAGAAAACAATACACCCAGTCCAGGACTCAAACTTCGGTCAGCCATGTGAGAGTCCAGTACTATAACCATCATGCCACCCGCTGGCCCTAGTTCTATTCCTTCTTCTTTTTTTTTTTGAAAGAACTTACTCAATTTTATTTATTTATTTATTTATTAAATTTGCTATAGGGCACATGTGCTCACCAGAGAGAGGGAAAATGAGAAAGCAAGCCACCTGGTCCAGGACTTGAACAGTAGTCGGCCATGTGGGAGTCCAGCTCCTTAACCACCATGCCACCCGCTGGCCCCTTCGTTCTCTTCTTAAAGACCACAGTCTTAGGTCAGCCAGTGGTGTGGAGGTGAGGACAGCTGGATCTCACATCGCCGACCACACAGTTCAAGTTCCAGATCTGGTGGGACCCAAAATCCCAAGAAGAAACTGGAGGAGAAGGGATTGCACCATAGCCATCCCCCTCGAGGGGTGATTTCTCACTTTCTCTATCAATCTCTCTCTCTGTCAGTCTCTCCATCTCTCCCCAGCAAGCATACACACTTATAGCAAGCTTAGGTGGTTGACCACAGTTCAAGTCCCGGATCCGGCAGCTTGTTTTCTCACTTTCCATCTCTCTCTCTCACTCTGTGTGTGTGTCTCTCTGGTCAAAAATAAATAAATAAAAACGGGGACCAGCAGTTAGCGTAATGGCTATGTCGCTGGACTCCCACGTAGTCGACCGCGGTTCGCATCCCAGACCCGGTGGCTTAAAACTCACGCCGGGTGTGTGTGCGTGTGTGCCCAAGATCCCGAGAGGAGAATGGAGGAGAAGGGATTGCGGCGTGACCATTCCCCCTGGGGGGTGATTTCTCGCTTTCTGTCTCTATGTCTCTCTCTGTCTGTCTGGCGAGCACACGCGCCCTATAGTGAAAAACCTCTAAAAAAATTTAAAAATAAATAAATAAAATAAAATCAATCTATCTAGCAATCAATCATTCTTTCAATAAATAAGTAAATAAACAAACACAAAGACCAGGATCTCCTCCCTTTTGCAGGACCACAGAGGCCAATTGAGTCACAACCCTAAGTCTGCTTCCCATTCAGCTCCATGCCCCCAAAATCATACTACCCCTGGGACCAGCAGGTGGCATAATAACTATATTACTGGACTCCCATGTAGCCGACCACAGTTCGAGTCCCGAACCCGGTGACTTAAACTCACGCCGGGCGTGTGTGCGTGCGTGCCCAAGATCCCGAGAGGAGAATGGAGGAGAAGGGATTGCGGCGTGGCCATCCCTCCGGGGGGTGATTTCTCGCTTTCTGTCTCTCTGTCTCTCTCTGTCTTTCTGGCGAGCGCACGCGCCCTATAGCAAAAACCTCTCCAAAAAAAAAAAAATCATACTTCCCTTTAGGAACTATCGCTCCTAGGATGGCAATAAAACAGTGATGTTTTGTCTGTTGTCAACCAAACACAAACTCTAGGATTAGCGTGTGGATGGGCCAGAAAGGAAAGTGAGTAAGTGCACATATGCAACTTTGGCATAAAACACACGTTTTAACTTAGATATCAGAACTGGTGCAGAGGACCAGCAGGTGGCATGGTGGTTAAGGCGCTGGACACTCCCACATGGCTGACCATGGTTCAAGTCCCAGACCTGGTGACTTGCTTGCTTTCTCTCTTTCTTTATCTCTCTCTCTCCTTCTGTGTCTCTTTCTGGTCAAATTAAAATAAATGAATGAATAAATAAAATTTAAAAAATAAATCATTCTGGGGACTGGCAGGAGGCATGGTGGCTAAAGACACTGGACTCCTACCTGGCCGGTCACAGTTTGAGTCCTGGACCTGGCAGCTTGCTTTCTCACTTTCTCCTTCTCTCTCTCTGTCTCTGTCTGGTCAAATTAAAAAAATAATAATAACGGAACCAGCTGTTAGCGTAATGGCTATGTCGCTGGACTCCCATGTAGTCGACCGCAGTTCGAGTCCCAGACCTGGTGGTTTAAACTCACGCCGGGCGTGTGTGCGTGCATGCCCAAGATCCCGAGAGGAGAATGGAGGAGAAGGGATTGCGGCGTGACCATCTCCCCGTGATTCTGCGCTTTATGTCTCTCTCTGTCTTTCTGGCGAGTGCACGTGCCCTATAGCAAAAACCTCTCCAAAAAAGGAACATTTTCCAGGAATGAGATCCTGGGATAAAATAGAACCGTGGGTGGCCTAAAATCCTTAAACATGAGAGAGAACCTAGCCTCAGCCCAGCAGGAGGTGTGGAGGTTAAGGTGCTGAATCCCACGTGGCAGACTGTGTGGTCTGGATTTTTTTTCCTTACTTTTTTTTGTTTGTTTGTTTGTTTTTTGTTTTTTTCCTGTAGGATATGTACACTCACCAGAGAGAAGGAAAGAGAGAAGGTGAGAAATCACTCCCCAAGGGGAGTGACCACGCCACAATCCCTTCTCCTCCTCCATCCTCCTGTCAGGATATTAGGCACACACACACACACGCGTGTGCTTAGCACATTTTACAAACCACGGGTCCGGGACTCGAACCATGCAGCCAGCCACATGGCATCCACTGCCTTAACTCTCACTCTACACACTAGCCCCAGAATGGTTTCTTGATGCAGACGGACAAGAAATTTCAAGACTGCCCCAAACTATGAGACTGCCTTGGACAATTCTTAGATGTGAGAATCATTCCTTATTTCTTTTTTTTTTTTTTTTTGGAGAGGTTTTTGCTACAAGGCACATGCGCTCACCAGAGAGACAGAAAGCGAGAAATCACCTCCCGGGGTGATGGCCACGCCGCAGTCCCTTCTCCTCTATTCTCTTCTCGGGATTTTTGGGCACACGTGTACACATCTGGGGCGAGTTTCCAGCTGCTGGGTCCAGGACTCGAACCACAGTCGACCATATGGGAGTCTAGCACCTTAACCACTACACCATCTTCTGTCCTCACACCTGTATGTTTCCGAAGAGGAGTTAAAATATTGAAAAAGATGACTGTCACATTTTCACATGTGCACAGGACCCAGTTTAAAGGCGCAGCCTGGCACGAAGTAGAATTTGTCTTCTAGTTAGATTCAACAGACAAAACCCCTTGTATGTTTCCAATAAGGAATGGGGGGAAAAAAAAAAAGAAAGAAAGAAAAAAAAAAGAGGGAGTGGGGAATTACTTAGCGTGTGTTTCCACACAAGAAACTAATTATTGAATCTATTGAAAAAGAGCCTCCGGACACAGAAGCTAACATGTTGGCCTGGTTTATTGAAAATATGTCGCTGTTTCTTTGTCCAATTGGTAGCATTGGAGTTGGACGCACGTTTGCTTTGTGCAAATCAACACGCGAGCACACGTAATTACCAGGACGGACGCCATCCCAAACATTCTTTCTCAATCACGAAGAAACTGATCTGTAGCAGATGACCATCGCAGATCGCTGGGTGGTTCTGCACCAGTTCTTCTTATTTAAAAAGAAAAATTACTTAGTTAATTATTATGTACATGTGACCAGCAGTTAGCGTAATGGCTATGTTGCTGGACTCCTATGTAGTTGACCATGGTTCGAGTCCCAGATCCGGTGGCTTAAACTCACGCCGGGCGCGTGTACGTGCGTGCCCAAGATCCCGAGAGGAGAATGGAGGAGAAGGGATTGCGGCGTGGCCATCTCCCCCTGGGGGTGATTTCTCGCTTTCTGTCTCTCTGTCTCTCTCTGTCTGTCTGGCGAGCGCATGAGCCCTATAGAAAAAACCTCTCCAAAAAAAAAAATTACTTAGTTAATTATTATGTACATGGGACCAGCAGTTAGCATAATGGTTATGTTGCTGGACTCCTATGTAGTTGACCATGGTTTGAGTCCCGGACCCGGTGGCTTAAACTCACGCCGGGCGCATGTACGTGTGTGCCCAAGATCCCGAGAGGAGAATGGAAGAGAAGGGATTGCGGCATGGCCATCTCCCCCTGGGGGTGATTTCTCGCTTTCTGTCTCTCTGTCTCTCTCTGTCTTTCTGGTGAGCGCACGTGCCCTACAGCGAAAACCTCTCCAAAAATAAAATATATATGTATGTAGTTTCAAAATAATCATTTACTTAATTCCATTTGTTGTGGGTCCCACCATTCCCGGAAACGGTTCTTTACAAAGAGGCTGTGGAAGAAACCCTGCCCCAGGACAGTCAGGGGCCCGAGGGTGTTGCTCAGGTTCACCTCTGCGTGGGCTCAGGCTCATGGTCATTGCTTTGTCGTCTGCGTGTCATTGCAGCAGCCAGCTCACCTGGAGGGACGTCCAGCACCTGTTAGTGAAGACCTCCCGGCCAGCCCACCTGAAGGCGAGTGACTGGAAAGTCAACGGTGCGGGTCACAAAGGTGCGGAGGTGGCTCCCGGTGTCTGGGCGGGGACCAGCCTGCCACCAAGTCATGGGGAACTCTCTGGGTGACCCCTGGAAGGTGCTTTGGGGGTGGGGGTAAGAATTCCTTAAAAGAAATAAATTGGGTTATTGTTATTGTGTGTCACAGAATGAGAAACATGTGTAGCAATTTAAGAAAAGTGTCGTGGGGCGCCTGCAGGTGGCATGGTGGTTAAGGTGCTGGACTCCCACATGGCCGACCGCAGTTCAAGCCCCAGAGCTGGAGGCTTCCTTGCTCATTCTCTCTCTCTGTCTTTCTGCCTCTCTCGGATCAAATTAAAAAATATTAATAATATTGGGGCCAGCAGGTGGCATGGTGGTTAAGGGCGCTGGATTCCCACAGGGCTGACCGTGGTTTGAGTCCCAGACCAGATGGCTTGCTTTCTCACTTTCGCTCTTTCTCTTTCATTCTTTCTAACTGTCCCTCTCTGGTCAAATTAAAATAAATAAATAAATAAAGTTAAATGAAGTAATTCTTAAAATAATAATGATTATTATTGTAAATAAAATTAATAATTTTGGGGGGTGGTTTTTGCTATAGGGCATGTGCACTCACCAGACAGACAGAGAGACAGAAAGCGAGAAATTACCCCCCAAGGGGGATGGCCACACCACAATCCCTTCTCCTCCATTCTCCTCTCGAGATCTTGGGCACGCACGCACATGCGAAAAAAAAGCCACGGGGTCGGGGACTCGACCCGCGGTTGACGACATGGGAGTCCAGGAACATAGCCATTACGCTAACTGCTGGTCCCTAATTAATGACATTTTTAAACAGAAAAAGAAAAGTGTTGGGGAATCTCACACTGACATCAAGGAGAACACAGAGGTCTTTAGGGTTAGGGTTCCTTTATGACTTAACACCATGCTTAGGGACCACCCACACCAGCCTTCCCTTGTTACTTCTTTGTAGACTTTAGCCCTTTTTTGTGCATTGAGAAAAGTATTTGGGCGGGGCCAGCAGATGGGGGGGGATTGTTAAGGTTCTGGACTCCCATGTGGCAGACCACTGTTCAAATCCCAAACCCGGTGGCTTGAAAAATCATGCCAGGTACAGGGGCCAGCATATGGCTTGGTGGTTACGTCGCTCGACTCCCACATGGCTGATCGCTGTTTGAGTCCCAGCCTTGGTGGCTTCAAAATCATGCCAGGTGTCTTTGCATGTGTGCCCAAAATCCCAAGAGGAAAATGGAGAAGGGATTGTGACATAGCCTTCCCCTTCTAGCTTTCCCTCTCACTGTCTCTCTCTCTCTCCCACAAGCACACATCCCTAAGGCAAAAACTTCTAAAAAAAGAAAGAAAAAGAAAGAGGGGACCAGCAGTTAGCATAATGGCTATGTCGCTGGACTCCCATGTAGCCGACTGCGGTTCAAGTCCCAGACCCGGTGGCTTAAACTCACACCGGTCGTGTGTGCATGTGTGCCCAAGATGCCGAGAGGAGAATGGAGGAGAAGGGATTCCAGCATGGCCATCCTCCCTGGGGGGTGATTTCT